CCCGAGCCCGCCTCGTGGCCGCGCCTCCCGCGGAGGTCGCATGCCTGGGGGCGCGAAGCAGCCCGGGCGCCCCGCCCCGCGAGCCCCGTGGGGCCTGGTCCCGCCCTAGCCCCGAGCGCCGGTGTCCAGTGTTCGGGGCGACGGAGAGCGGCCCCGGGACGGGCTTCGGACGCCGGACGGGCCCTCCCGTCTCTGGGCGGTTCTGGTCAGACCCGCGGGTCCCGGTGCCGAGACTCGGGAAGCCTTTCCGGCCCCTGTTCCGCGTCCGCGCACGCACGGCGCTGCCAGAGGCTTTCCCTGCCGTGCGCGCCGTGTCCACGCGTTTCACTGAGGCAAGCCCAGCCCGAGCAAGCGGACCTGGAGCCGACCCTCCCTCCCGGCCAGGCTGCCCTGTCGCCGGGAAGGCCCCAGGCCGCTCCCTCCCCCGCCAGGACCGGCCTCCAGCCGCAACTCCCGAGCGGGAGCTGCAAACAGCTGCGGCTGCTTGAAGCCAGGGTCCCCCTTTGGCGAGAACAAGGGAATCTGTGTTTCCCACATGTTGCCGGCTCCTTTGGGGTGGTCTCTCCGTCCCCGCCAGCTGACGGGGGATTGTCTTACACTGCTGTTCTGGTGGCAGAGCCTGCGGGTCTCCTACCTATGAGATGGGGGAGGGGTGACTGTGTCCAGAGGGGGTGACAATGGACTCTGAGGACAGGCTGCCTTTGATGCGAGGGCGGAAGACAGGGCTCCATTGACCCCAGCGTTTGGCATGCGGTGCGCGGGACAGGACAGAGGGTGCGGTGGCATCAGATGAATGGGCCGCCTGACACATTGTGTCTGTGTGTGCCAGCATCTCCCCGGGCAGGGAGTGGGGCTGACGGTGGAGTGAGGAGATGCAGGGTGACTAAGCCGTGCACATTGGGGCTTGACACCAGCTGCCGCCGTTGAGCTGTGCCCCACCCCTGTACCAGGCACTGTTGGGATCCCTTAGTGGATATGATGGCTCTTTCCCATCCCAGTTTACAGAGGAAGAAACTGAGGCACTTGAGGTCGTGCAGCTCCCAAGGTGAGGAGTCAGGGAATGGACCCACACAGTCTGGCCTAGGGTCACCCCACGTAACCACCGTGGTACATGTGCTTAGATACTTCTAGGCAGAGAGGCATGGACTCAAAACCACTGTGTGCACCGTGCCTGACTCTGTGTGTGTTTTTAAAGGTGGGATCATGTGGACACCTGAGTGTTAGTGGTGATGGGATTGGGGTCTTCGGTATTTTCCAAGTGGACAGATGTCACTTTAGTAATCAGAGTTATGTTTTCAGCCAGAACCTGTTGCTTGCACTGTCACTGTTTGAAAATGATGCTGTGTTCATCCTCTTGTGGACAGTGGGTCCCAGGATGAGCCCCCTGAAGCCTGGGAGGCACCCCTCCTCATGAGCCTGGCGTGGTGTGACCCCCCCAAACCCTAATATTTGGAGCACATTTGCTCTTTCTGATGATTTTTTCTTTAAAGCAGGAGCTTAGTTCAAGACAAAGCTCTCTATACAGCTGGGCATGGCTGGGGAGAAGGCCCAAGGACAGGGTCATTCAGAGCCCTGGGGTCCCAGGAGGACACACTGAAACCCACTGCTGAAGACATAACAATGTGCCGCCTGCCCACAGAGGTGGAGAGCTTTTTCTTTTTCTTTTTTTTTGAGACAGAGTCTCACTCTGTTGCCCAGGCTAAAGTGCAGTGGCGTGGTCAGAGCTCACTGCAACCTCGAACTCCTGGGCTCAAGCGATCCTCCTGCCTCAGCCTCCAAGTAGCTGGGACTACAGGTGTGCACCACAACACTCAGCTAATTTCTCTGGTATTTTTAGTAGAGACGGGGTCTCACTCTTGCTCAGGCTGGTTTTGAACTCCTGAGCTCAAGCCATCCTCCCGCTTCGGCCTCCCAAAGTGCTATGATTGCAGGCGTGAGCCACCGCACAGGCCAGTTTGTTTTTTTCTTTTTTTTTAAATGAATTAAAGGCTCAGGGTTCCAGATGGCCAGATAGGACTTCTGCATTGTTAAAGAGACGAAAGCTCCACCGATGGGACGAAGTCCAGGTTTGCAAGCCCCTCCCCGTGGTCCCACTGGAAGGTGTTGCTGGGGTTCCCTCTACTGTAGATTAGGGCTTGGGCATTTCTAGTTGGGGGCTCTGGACTGTGGGCTCCTTGGAAACTCGTTCATCCATCCTGCCTGCATTGAGATGATGCTGATACGTTCCAGGAGTGGGGAGTCATGCTGAATGAGGGTTCGGCCCCGCCCAAAAGAAGCCCCCTCTGTGTGCCAGGGCGGGGGTCTCCCGGGCTGGGGACCACTGCGTGGCCCTCAGCACAGGAGCACAGCAGGCCCCTGGCATGGGGGCGGTGGGAGAGGGCTTGCTGGTGCCGGGCTTTCCAGCACCTTGCCGGCGAGGCCTGTGCCGCCTCTGTTGTGCTTTGGGGGCAACCCCGGATGTAGCCTCTCTCGCATCCACTCCCGGGAGGGACGCGTCACGGGGTGCTGAGCCACCGTCCCTGAGGCAGAGGTGAAAACTTTTCCCAAAGAGGATTCAGCAGGTCCTTCCTCCTGGACACACTTTGGGGAAGCCAGTGGGAGGACTCACCACGAGCTCTAAGACCACCGGGATCACTGTGCCCCGCAGCAACACCTGTGGGCGGCCCCTCCCAGCACCCTCGCAGCAGCGCACCTGCTCAGAGTGAGCTCTGGAGTCAACGCCAAGTTGCTAGAGCAGGACAGGGTTAGGTCAGCTGTGATAGAACCTGGCAGAACCTTCTACAGCTGTCAGGAATAGTAGGTTAAAAATAGCTAAAAGTAGAGTGTATAATATCGTATTTGGTTAAACAAAACGTGTGTAAATGCATGTACATGTAAAATATGTATTTACACGTAAGTGATTACACATGTAAAATACCTATTTTCAAGTACGGGAAAAATACTGACAGGATAGGAATTAATCCAGAGTGTTAAGAAATTGTCTCCATATGGTGGGAATTCGGTTGATTTAGCTTTTCCTTTTTGCTTATGTTTATTTCCTATTTCTCCGTAATGGACATGTGTTAGTCGTGTAGGGAAAATAATACACGGTTCCGTCGTCAGACCCCGTTGGGATGAGCAGGCTGCTGGCAGGGCACCAGGCGCCATCCGGCTGGGGCTTCACCCAGTCCCGAAGAAGCCAAATGATCAAAGAGAACCCCCACCCCTGCAACAAACTGGGGTCGATCTCGGTAAGAATACCGTTCCACTAGCGTGACAGCCTCAATATCACAGGAAATTATAGAAATCCGTGAGACCGTCAGTGAACCCCAGTGGAAATGGTTGGAGTAGCCACAGGAGGTTTGCGCAGAGTGAAACCGTTGTTCATTGCCACCGAGATGGGGATTCCAAGTTGCCAGATGCGCGTTCCACCCGTCTCCCTAATACCGACTAATAGAGACCTAATATGGACCCCAGGTCATGGCAACAGCCTTGCGTCTGTGTCTTCCCCACAGCGGGCCCCTCCCGGTCACTCTCAGCACCGTGAGGCTCCTTCGCCTGGCTCCTGGGCATGGGACCTGGGGCAGCTTTGGGAATGGCCTGGCAGCAGTCTCAGGAGATTTGCCTGGGCTCATGCGAGTCCTGTGGCATCCTGCAGGTGAGACGAGAAATGTCAACAGGGACACGGGTGCAGATGTGTGTCATATTTCAAATAGCAAAACTTAGAGAAAAAACGTCCGATGACGGGGAGATGACGAAGTCAGCCAAAGCGGTGCTCACGCAGCTGTGACGACGTGGACGCGAGCTCAGGGTGTGTCACCACGTGGAAGACCGGGATGTGGAGCCGAACTCGCTGCACGGCCAGGACTCGGGAATAACGCACAGAAGGACCGGCCGGCAGCACCCCCGACCGTGGGTGTCCTGGGCCGAGGAACAAGGGCGCCCTTTGTGTTTACGTTTTAATTCTTCTCTGTGTTTCCCACAATGGAAATATTGTCACAGTAGGCAGGACATAACTTAAATATCAGAAAAGAAAAGAAAATGCCAAGGCCCTAAAACTGACATCGGCCACGGACACTCACAGATGATTCCCGAAAGGCAGAGCGCCAGTTGCTGCAGCGCGTATGAACCAATGTTTAACGCCAGTGCTATTCTTGCAGGAATGACTTCTGGTTTTCCTTAGTTTTTTCTTTATTTTTCTAATGTTACACAAAAACCAAAATGGTTTTGGTAATATGAAAGCAGTGTTAAATCAAAGAAAGTCAGGCCATGTCTTAGTTCAGTCAGGCTGCTATAACAAAATACCTGAGACTGGGTAATTTAAAAATTATGGAAATTCCCAGCACTTTGGGAGGCCAAGGCAGGAGGATCGCTTGAGGCCAGGAGTTGGAGGCCAGCCTGGGCAACAGAGTGAAACCTCGTCTCTACAAAAATTTTTTAAAAATTAGCTGGGCGTGGTGGTGCACACCTGTAGTCCCAGCTATTGCAGAGGCCGGGGCAGGAGGATGCTGTGAGCTGTGGTGACGCCACTGTACTCCAGCCCGGTCAACGGAGGGAGGCTTTGTTTAAGAAAAAAAGAAGAAGGAAAAAGAAAAGGAGTGAGG